AAGAACAAGGAGTTCTGGAAGTGATGGTGTGGACTCCACAAAGCTCTGATCTTAACATCATGGAGTTTGTCTGGGATTACATGAAGAGACAGAAGGATATGAGGCAGCCTACACCCACAGAAGATCTGGGGTTAGTTCTCCAAGATATTTAGAACAACCTACCTGCCGAGTTCCTTCAAAAACCTTCAATTTCTAAAAGTGTTCTTAAATTACAGCATTTGTTTTCATGACTGCCTATAACTTATGCACAATACTGTATATATGGGCAAACAGCTCAAGTGAGCAGTGTGCGTCTATTTCTCCCTTTTGATTATTTAAAGGAATAAAAGTACACAAGTGTAAAAAAAATGTTATAACAAGGGACAGTGTGTCCCTTGCCCCCCCCCCCCCCCCCATGATCTTACTGTTCTAAGCCCTCTTCTAAGTTTTTTTAACATTGTTATGTTGGTCCACCTTGGACCAATGAAAGTATGTGCCATACCTGTGGGGTGGAAGCTGGAAATCACAGTAGTAGGCACTTCCTCTTCAGTAATCTCCACTTGCTTCCGTATCCCATGCTGAGCAGCTGCCCTGCTGCATTGTGAACACAGGAGGTCACTCGCTTGGCATGGCAGTCACTCAGAGAACACATTTTCTCAACGAATGCAAAGCATTCGCTGAATGGACAAGGTGGAGAAGCAAGATGGCCATGTCACAATCTCTACATCATCCAATCAGAGAACAATTTACATTAACCTCCCTAGCAGTCTGATTATGTCAGTATTTCTGTGCTCAAAGTGGTCCATTTTTTTGCATGGAAATATGTCGTTTTTTTATTGTAGGCCTTTAAATTTTTAGGAATAACTCACTGAAATCTGTCCAAACAAGAGTCTAGTAAATATAAAAATGCAGCGTTGTAAGAAAGTATTAATAAAACACAGTCCCAATGAAAGGAGTGCTCCGTGATTCCTAGTGCCAATGGTAAAAATTCGCACTAACCAGAAGGCGTAAAAATATACGCATGTGTATATATATCCTGAAGAATCCCCTCTCCACTCGGGTCTGGTCAAAGGAATAGCCGGGAAAGATAGAAGTCCTACGCCCTCATGTGGTGAAAGAATGGTCCAGCAGGTCAGAGAAATATCAATCTGGGTAAGCCTCCCCCTTCACAGGAGCTGACACAGGGATCACTTGGGGCTGTAAGAATTGAAGAAGCTCCTCACAGGAGACATAGGGAAGTACTCATAGTGTAGTAGGTAAGGCTTTATTATGAGAACATAGGTGCATAGTGAACAGAGTATTTGGCAAGTATGGATGAACACACTGACCCTTAAAGAATAAAGATGGCCGCCGGGCCTCCTCGTGGCACCGGCGGCTTAGTGTCAACGGTGTCCTGGGTCCTTTCTGACGCGTTTCGTGCGCACGCACTTCTTCAGAGGTGGAACGAAACGCGTCAGGGGGACCCAGGACGCCGTTGACACTAAGCCGCCGGTGCCACGAGGAGGCCCGGCGGCCATCTTTATTCTTTAAGGGTCAGTGTGTTCATCCATATTTGCCAAATACTCTGTTCACTATGCACCTATGTTCTCATAATAAAGCCTTACCTACTACACTATGAGTACTTCCCTATGTCTCCTGTGAGGAGCTTCTTCAATTCTTACAGCCCCAAGTGATCCCTGTGTCAGCTCCTGTGAAGGGGGAGGCTTACCCAGATTGATATTTCTCTGACCTGCTGGACCATTCTTTCACCACATGAGGGCGTAGGACTTCTATCTTTCCCGGCTATTCCTTTGACCAGACCCGAGTGGAGAGGGGATTCTTCAGGATATATATACACATGCGTATATTTTTACGCCTTCTGGTTAGTGCGAATTTTTACCATTGGCACTAGGAATCACGGAGCACTCCTTTCATTGGACTGTGTTTTATTAATACTTTCTTACAGCGCTGCATTTTTATATATGAATTGTGGGACTTTAATTGTGGGACTTTATATGCGTTTTCCTTTATGTTCAGCTGCTGCCACTGTTGTTGAGCGCTTACTATATATTTTATTACCCTTCAAGAGTCTAGTAAACATCCCGGGTATGTTAAAATTTGAAACAAAAAATCTAATTATAATATAATCATAAAAAATAATAATAGAATAATAAATTTAATTCAATAATATAATCAAACCAAAAACACTGAAATTTGAAATAGAGCGCCAAGTTCGCACATCACTGAGCAAATTCGCAGAATCGCTTTCAGTGTCTGATGACGAATTTCCCCCACGAATTATTATCACTCAATTCTGCAAGTGGTTCTGATTTGCTATCGCTGTTCTCTAGCTGATCTACAACCGCTTTTGACCTAAAGGGACGCTTTTTGGACGCCATGGACGTTTCTCAGTTTCCAGGCAGAAAGAACAGTAAAAATGCAGGCAGGGCGCAGGACAAAGCACTCGGGACAAAATGTATGTGAAATGGTTTGATACAGTAATGTTATACTATGTGATTTTAGTGTATTTAGTGAATGTCACTTTTTGACATTTTTAAATTTCCCGCCGGTTCCGTCCCCCGTACGTCCCGATGTCACAGGGAACGGAACCCAGAAGACAGATGCCGGCATCGGCTGGAGGAGATGGCTGGGGACACTGCAGGAGGGACATCGCGGGAGCGTAGGACAAGGTAAGTGCAGAAGGGATCCCGGAGCAACGCTGCATGGTATTACAAAGTGTAGCTCGGGGTTACCGCTTTTGGTGCTGAAACTTTACCCCGAGCTACACTCGGAAATACCGCCAGGGAGGTTAACTGAGAAAATGCTACGTGTTCTCTGAATGATGCCCATGGGGAGCACTGGGTGCAGTTGTGGGGTGGCCCAATTCACTTGAATTCAATGTGACAGGGGGTACAAGTCCTGGTGCAGAGTGTATACACCCCTTGCCACTGCCTTTCTAGCTAAAGAGGGAAAGCTTGAAGCGCAGCCCAACCGCATGGTTTTACCACCCTTAATCGCTTATATAAACGAGCCCTTAAAGTGTCCTACTTTACAATGCATAGTGAAGCCCCAACTCAAATAATATGGTGCCATGTGGTACAACATTGCAACAATGGTAAAATAATAAAATTACAAATAAAGGGTCTTCATGATTAGCGCCCCTCCTCTCCTCAACCATATCAGGCCACAACATTGGGGGGGGGGGGTGCTTTGGGGCAGGGGGGAATCCCCACCCAAAGCACCTTGGGGGGGGGGGGATGAGGGCCTCTTCCCCACAACCCTGGTCGGTGGCTGTGGGGGTCTGCAGGCAGGGGGCTTATCGGAATCTGGAAGCCCCCTGCCTTTTTTCACACTACACTTTTTGTTTTTTTGTGAATGAGCAGGGGTACCATGTACCCCATACTCCTTCACATGGGGGGGGGGCGGGATCTGGGGGGCCCCTTGTTAAAAGGGGGCTTCAAGATTCAGTTAAGCCCCCCACCTGCACACCCCCACAACATCCAGCCAGGATTGTGGAGAAGAGGCCCTTGTCCCCATCAACATGGGGACAAGGTGCTCTGAGGGGGAGCCCCCCTGCCCCAAAAGCACCCCCCCATGTTGAGGGCATGTGGCCTGGTATGGTTCAGGAGGGGGGGTGGAGCACTCACTTGGTCCCCCCCCTCCTTTCCTGACCTGCCGCACTGCATGCTCAGATAAGAGTCTGGTAAGGATTTTGGGGGGGATCCCCTTGCCATTTTTTATTTCCTTAATTTTGGAGTTCCCCTCAAAATCCAAACCAGACCCGAAGGGCTTGGTATGGATGGGAAGGGGGACCCCACGCCATTTTTTTAAATTATTTTTTTAAATTGCTGGCAATTCTTTTACATTCAGCTGTCAGTGGGGAACCCCGCTGACAGCTGAAACATTAACACATGGTTGTCACAACTAAAATACTGTATGGCTTAATAAATTAGCTCATGCTGTATTTTAGTAGCGTTTACTTTTTTCTGACCTTTGGAACGGACTAATTGGTTTTCAAAGCATTCCTTTGGGAAACGGCGTTTTGGTTTACGAAATGTTCGCTATACTAAAAGTCCTGTAGAACGAATTAAATTTGTAAACTGAGGTATTACTGTACTTGCACAAGTCTGGATCTTCTTCTGGTTCAAAAGACAAAGTTCCAAAGACATGCTGGTAGGTTAACTGGTATGTGTTTAAATTGGCCTGAGTAAATAATAAGGTACTGACTAAGGCTTTCAATGTAAAATACAAAATTTCTTAGGCCTCTTTCACATGAAGGGTCCGATCAAGTCCGCCTGTCAGTTTTTCAGGCGAACCTCATCAGATGGTCCATGCACCTCTATGAAGTGGCGAGTGTAAACGGACTTGTGTCTGTTTACACTTGCCCAGGGGCGGACTGACAACTCATGGGGCCCCCGGGCAATAAGGGATCATGGGGCCCCTATGTCCTTGTCCAAACGCAAAAAAGCCTATGAAGGTACCAGGGGCATCTCATGGGGCCCCCTACTGACCCCGGGCCCTCGGGCAGTGCCCAAGTTTCCAAATGGTCAGTCCGCCCCTGCACTTGCCTAACTCTGGTCTGATCCGGTCCACTTAATAAAAAACTGAAGGGGATCCTTCCCTCAATGGCTACGGTCCTATCATTTGCCCTCTCTGATCAGCAGACAGATCCCCTCCTTATCAAAACACAGTCCACCCAGTGTGAAAGGAGCCATATCGAAAAAGGAAAAATATATTTTACAAGATATTTAGTCTTCACCATATAAAAAAATGTATACACCACATTTAAGCAGGTAAAATATTAACCTATATATTCTATGCCTCTAAGAACTAATCAAAAAATAGGTTAAATGACACGCTGAGCAAAACTGCATGAGGCTGGGCACAGTGTTTGCACTGCTATGAGGTGTTCTGAAGATTAGATTTATTTTATGGAGTTAGTACCTTTTGAGCAGAGCAATGAAAGTTTGTATGATAGCAAAATTATTGCAAAGCAAGAAATCCTAAAAAATGAACTTAGAATTAAGAAAAAAAAATATTACCACTCATTTCACAGCCAAAGAGCTCAAAACGCAGAGTGCAGGCTCTTTGACAAGTCACGGGGTACACACGAATATACTGGGCAGTGATTGGAGGACTGAAGATATTGGCCTTTCGACCTTCATTGTCTCTATTTCCATGGAATATCTAGAAGGAAAACAGATATTAGAGCATTTTAGAGTCAGTCTGTAGTGCTATTTAGCTATTAAAGAGTGATCCATAACAGACTGCTGCCAACATATTGGTCATAAAGCACAGTAAATGATTAGCACTTTCGCCTGGCAGTACTAGGGTCGTTGGTTCGAATCCCAGCCACGGCACCACCTGCCTGGAGTTTGCATGTTCTCCCTGTGCCTGCGTGGGTTTCCTCAGGGTACTCCGGTTTCCTCCCAAAGACATGCTGGTAGGTTAATTGGCTCCTGTCTAAATTGGCCCTAGTATGTGTATGTATGAATGTGAGTTAGGGACCTTAGATTGTACACCCCTTGAGGGTTAGGGACTGATGTGAATGTACAATATATATGTAAAGCACTGCGTAAATTGATGGCGCTATATAAGTACCTGAAATAAATAATAAATAAAGGAAACATTCAAGTGTCCCTAAACCCAGGACCCTGCATTCATTATATCTGGTCTCCCACAGTACACACAACTTGGAAATGCAATTATTTTAGTAAAGAAATTGCTAAATACCTTTTCTCATCAACGGTATTTAGCAGTCTTGTGACTTCTATCAGTGTCTGGCTGAGCACTGGTTAATCTTGCAGGAGGATCGGATTTCTGTACGTTTTGTAAAATCCATTTTTTGGAGTTCATTAAAGGACATAAAAGATTCAGAGAAAATGTATTATACTGCTGCCTACAGGACGCTTCGGCAAAGAAAATAATTCTCATCCTGGTATAACCTGCCCCACTACCAGCATGCCTCAGTTTGGTAGAAAAGCAGTACTAGGAGCCATATCATAGACACAGAATGGTGGGACCCGTGTTCCTCAATTAACTACAAGAAATGGATTTTACAGCAAGTACAAAAATCTAATTTTCACATTCATTGAGGGGCACAGGATTCAGAGAAAACTGGGACATCCAAAAATCTGTGCAAATGAGGGGAACAGTAACAACAGGCCTACAAACAAAAACAGAACTGGGTGTTGTCTGTAGCTGAAAGAGCTGCCTTAAGGACCTTACACCCACATCTGGTATCAGATGAGGTCTGAACATCCACTTGGTAGAACTTCAAGAACATATGAGCAGAACAACAGGTGGCAGCCTTGCAAATCTGAAAAACTGTTGTCTGGTGCTAAAAAGCAAAAGGCACTTACAGCTCTAGTAGAGTGTGCCCTGACAGGGAAAGATGGAACCCAATCCTTAAGACCATAAACTTGAATGATAATCTGAGCCAGTGCTTTTCAAATTGTGGCCCTTTCCCTGCCTATACTCAGCCTTTTTGGGCACAAGGTGTCTAGGACTCCTCCCCAGCCTGCTAGGCTGAAGTCTGTTGTGTGAGGATCTTCTAGGAGACCAGGAGGAAGAAGATTACCCCAACTGAAGAACTAGATTCCTGAGCCAACAGGCCAGAGACAATCTGATTTTTGATGTCAGAGGAATTGGTATGTCTACAGACTTGGTTGATTTATCTTACAGTGACATCATGTTGAGTTGTAGGAGTCTGGAGTGGAACTGGGATAATGGGACTGCCTAAAAAGGAGGATACCATAAGCCCCAGGACTCATGTAGAATCAAAGTCAGGTGACTCTTGGTTTGAAGAGTCCTAGTCTGCAAGTGGAGAGCTAGAAGAATCTCTTGGGGCAGAAATCCCAGCTTGAGCTGTGCTAGGATAAGAGAGATACTTCAAGCAATAAGTTGGCTCGCACGCTGACCTCAGAGGTTCAGGATCTAACCAAACTTTTTCAAGGTCTGAACGGTTTACATCACAGTGTTGGACAGACCTTGTGCTGACTGCTCCCTTAAGAAGGGGTCGTACAGATATCACACAATGGGGAATGCTCTGGGAATTTAATAAGGTAAGCACAGGGGCCAGAACCTTGGTGAATACGTCAGATGCAGAACAGTGGCCGAATTATAGGACCAAGATCTAGAGGTGCTGGGAGCCCACCATGAACCAAAGGAAGCACCGATGTGCTGGAAAAATGGGGATACACAAGTATGAATCCTTAATGTCTACAGAGAACAGAAATTCTCCTTGATGAAGGGAGGCTATGCCAGACCTGGTCAATTACATACAGATTTTCTGAGCCTGAATGAAGACATTTAGGGCCCTGGAATCCAAGATAGGATGGATGACCCCTTTTGGTTTGGTGACTGAAAAGTTTGCAGTAGAACTGAAACATTTTTGCCTTAGGAACAAAGGTAATAAATCCTTTTATCCAGAAGATATGTATGGAGATTTGTTAATCTGAGCAGAGACAAATGCAGGTCAGGAAGACCTCAATAAGAGCAGTCTCACTCTAAGCCTAGGAGTAATGGACGCTCTCTGAGACTCCTCAAGTGCAATATCCTTTGTTTAGGATTTCTGAGACTCTTCATCAGACAGAGCCACTGCTACAAAGGCTCAGAGGGTGCTAAAGCTGCAGACAGATCAGATAATGACTCTGCAGGGGAGGGTGTGGAGGTACACATATGGCCTCTGAGGTTAGAGTCAGCAATCTGTTCTATGAAATCCTGCATAACTGTGTTGAATCATCCCAAGAGAGAACCCAGGAGGGGGCCACTCCTGAAAGAGCCAAGGAAGACTGCAGGGGACAACATTTCAGGCTGTCATTGCCAGATCCATGAGAGAGTGCACTGCAGGCAGCACTGGACCTGTTAGTAGTAAACTGGAGGGACTCATTACAGAGAGCCTGCGATCCGTGTGTGTGGGATCAAACATGCTGGGCTGGTAGGCAGAGACAATATAGTGAAGGGTACTAGGTTAAGCTCTGGGTACTTTCTAACTAGCTGCTGGTAGCAGAAGTTGTTCCGAAGGTATCACGATAGGCACAGCTAAGGCCCACCTTGGAAACTTCTTGTGTCAATAAGGAGCAGCTGTGGAAAGAGGTACCCAAATGTTGAATGGCAAAAACAGAAGCTTGGAGCCCATGCAACACTGCCCTTAAGTATGCCATCACTTGGTCCTTCAGAATTACCTTTTTCCATGGTAAACCGATGAAAAATATGCATAATAAGGCCACCCAATGATCCTAACAGTAAGGTAGCTCCCCATGTTTGCTCCACACAACCTATTCACAAAGTGAGTCCTCACAGACTGGGTCACAGCAGATGCTCTGTCATGGCTCTGGACCCAGAAGGCACTACATGGCTAAAATAGTATATTCAGATCTGGTAAGTGCCACAGTGCAGTGCCTAGTACTCTAAGTAAACATTGCAGTCCCCCAACCCCACCCCACCTCCAATCAGTCTGGGTATAGCTTCCAAATCTAGTACGAAGGATATGAACATCTGGATAGCTGCATATAGAGACCTACCCAAGCAGCATAAGGGGAAATGTTGACTGAAAAAAGCAGGAAAAAAAATGGGAAAAAAGCTAGTAACAACAGTTCAACTTTTGCTTAACCCAACTGTCTTTGAGTGTCCCTAAAGGGTAACTCCACTTTTGTGGGGAAAAAAAATTGCAATTGTAATTGAATGTTACTGAAAACTACTTTCCTTTTTTGCAGCCCTGTCATTCTTTTGTAAAATGCAATGCAATACAGCATTGTACAGAACACCCCATGAAAATGTAATTTCCTGCTTGTGTGATTGGCTCACTGATTTTCCCAGAAGTGTGCATTAAGACACAAGTCAGTATTTGAGCATCTCCTGCAACAAAAATTTCATTTTTTGGCGAGATACTCCAAAAGGGAAATCACATCTAAAAAGGGATGCAGCCCCTGCCTCTTTCTGCATTAGAAACCTGCAGGTGTAGCAGCTGATTGAGAATTCTAAAATCACTCCCATACAGACTCACTCTGCACATGGACAAAGCAAACAAACAGCTATTTCTTCAGAATAGCAAAAGGTAGGGATCTACTACAAAGTTTGTTACAATTCCTGCAATGTACATAGATCACCCAGAGAGGAATGGTTTTTTTTCTCTCAACAAAAATGTTTTACTCTTTAACAAACCAGAAAAAAAATTAAAACTCACTATAATCATCATAGGGCAGCTGTGTGTTAGAAAGTGACATTCAAAATGCAGGTTTTTTTTTTTTTTTTTTGCAAATGTGCACATGCATGTCTGAAAGTTATGTCAGTTTTGCTCATCATCAGGTCTGGATGTAGTCTCCAAAATGATTGATATATACACTGCATTACTAAGTCATTAGTAATATTTAGTCACAGCACCACTCAACTCCTACCTGGTCTATATCCCGACCCTCACTCTTGTAGAAGGTGAACTCCTGTCCATCAGCACTGTAGGCCACTTTAAATTCTTTCAGGTACTCTGCCTTTCCCATCCGGCTGGCTCCCTGGGTGATGATTCCAGATACTCGCAGCTGCCTTAACAGATTCACCTGCATAGGAAAAAAAAAAAAGACAGAATTAAAATTGTATATAAGGGATTAATATGTTAGGGATCAACGCTATTTATCAAAAAATAAAAACCACATCAAAAAGGGGTAGAAAACAAAAAGGCCCCAGACAAGCATACTGCAAATTGAATTCCTTGTGGTAACACTGTACAAACCACAAACAACTTGCAAGGTCACTCTTTCTGGTCCAAGGATCACAGATTGGACAGCAAGGGAAAAGAAGTGCTTCTCCATCCAAAACCTTTTTGTTGTCAGTTTTTAAGAAACAGTGAAGTTCCAGTCACTGCAAACTTTGGCTTCATTAGATAGATGCCCCCCCCCCCCCTCCAGAAAAACATGTCGAAGGAACAAGCAGTGTTAGGGTCAGTCTAAAGGCATGTCTGAGAGGTGTTTGACTGGTGTGTACCATGTATTCTTACAAAGCTGTATGGAAACAGAATGGTAAAAGTCAAACTAGTCTCACAGTAAACGTCTCTCAAAATTCCACTTGCATGGACTAAAGCTGGCCATACACGAAGATTTCTCTTGTCCAGCCTCACAGGCTCAACAATAGAAATCACTTGTTTCTCCCATCCATGTAAGGACCTATTATTATTATTATTATTATACAGGATCTATATAGCGCCAACAGTTTGCACAGCTCTTTACAAAATGAACACTTGGGAATGGGGCCATTAAGGATTAAGCAAGCTGGAGAGGGGTCGAATCTTGGCCGGTTCATCAAGGACCGGCTGAGACTCGAACCATCGATGGGCAGGCCGACTGTACCCAATTCGATTTTGTACGACTTGGGTACAGCTTCATTAGATAGATGCCCCCACTCCAGAAAAAACATGTCGAAGAAACAAGCAGTGTTAGGGTCAGTCTAAAGGCATGTCTGAGAGGTGTTTGACTGGTGTGTACCATGTATTCTTACAAAGCTGTATGGAAACAGAATGGTAAAAGTCAAACTAATCTCACACTAAACGTCTCTCAAAATTCCACTTGCATGGACTAAAGCTGGCCATACACTAAGATTTCTCTTGTCCAGTCTCACAGGCTCAACAAGAGAAATCACTTGTTTCTCCCATCCATGTAAGGACCTATTATTATTATTATTATACAGGATTTCTATAGCGCCAACAGTTTGCGCAGCGCTTTACAAAATGACCACTTGGGAATGGGGCCATTAAGGATTAAGCAAGCTGGAGAGAGGGTCGAATCTTGGCCAGTTCATCAAGGACCGGCTGAGACTCGAACCATCGATGGGCAAGCTGACTGTACCCAATTCGATTGTTGTACGAATTGGGTACAGCCAGCCTGTTGTATTTTTCATGAGATTATAGCCACTAGCAACACTCACTGTGTTCTCCCAGCAGGAAAGGCTACCCCCACCGGGAGAACACAAAAGCTTCGCATGGTCAGTGTCGATGGAGGAATCTTTCCTGCAACCATCAGAAGATTGCATCGTCTATGCCTGAGACCCAGCAGGGGTTGTCAGTTATTAACTGTGGGCATAAGTCCCACTGAAAGCAATGGGAGGATGGCAGCTCCAGCTAGGTCTCCCATATCAAATGGCTGCATTTGCAATTGTAAATGAGGTCTTAAACCGCATGGATCCTAGCAGCTATTCCAGAAGCAAATACCTGAGGCTGTCAGAATACCTGAACAATGGTTGCATCCGCTGTTCAGCTGACAATTTTCTGCCTGGCTTGTTCAATTCTCAGACCAAAATATAGGGTAGGGCAGGAGGATGCAGATTACAGCAGGCTCATCAGGATTCGCTCTGAAGATATGGCCAGGGGTCAAAGGGTTTAAAAAAAAAAAAAAAAAAAAAAAAGATACTAATCTATAAAAGGGATATAAAACCTGTTAAAATAGGGTCCAGACATACCGGCTTCAAATATGGGATGCCCTGCGGTCATTGTGATATTAGGGCCCATAAAAAGTCCACTGAGCTTTCTGCTTTATATCATGGTATGCCGTGACAAAGTGAACAAGCCAAGAATTTCAACTGTTTTTCTATCCAGTCAGGAGGAAAATTGCTCGGAAATCCCTCTGAATCCAGCACGTGCAATAACAAACTTGTAGCATAACTATTTATAATTGTTGTATACCTGAATCCAGGGGTGCTTGTCATAACTATTTGCAGTCCATGCATTAACCAAGCCTTTATTGTTCAGACGAGCAAGGTTAGGCCCCCATCGCTGCAGGCCAAGGAAACCATGGTACAAGGAAGAGGATGTAATCTGGGCATCAGCTATCGCTCCGCCCTCCATTCCTAGAGCATTGGCACATCCTGGACACATGAAATGCGTTAACAGAATTAATAATGAACAGGATTCACAAATTAAAAAATTGTGAAATATAGTGAGCGCTCTTAAGTAGGCAGCAGCTGAAACACTTAAGATAACCAAAATAACCTCTGTAGTAACAAAGAACAAATAAAGTGCAGCACTTATACAATGATGAAGTGGAAAATTCTTGTGAAGAAAGTTATCCAATAGAGTCCAAACAGTATATGATGATTAAGGATCCTATGAAGTAATTATCCCAGCGGAACTGTGACTAGAATAACAGAAGTGCGCTCTCACCACAAGCGCATGGATAATGCGCATGTAGGAATATTAATCCTGGATGGTAATCTGTAATCAGCAGGTGGTGGGCATCCTTCTGAGGTCTGGTCATTCAGCCTAGATTAAGCATGGGATATTTCTAGGTCCAGAGGTCCCCTTTAAGGGTGGATGGGCGCTCAATCTGCTTACAGGGCTCCCCCCTCTGGATACTGGATGGTATGAGATTCTGTCCTCTGTTAGCAGCCGGCCCGGCAGACTCCGCAAAAGCTCCTACATGAGCATTATCCATGCGCTTCTGGTGAGTGCGCACTTCTGTTATTCTAGTCACAGTTCCGCTGGGATAATTACTTCATAGGATCCTTTAATCATCATATACTGTTGGACTCTATTGGATAACTTTCTTCACAAGAATTTTCCACTTCATCAATGTATTAAGAACTGCACTTTATTTGTTTTTTTGTTACTACAGAGGATTCACAAATTAATTATAAAATGTGGTGGATTAGAAGGAATCTTATTGTAAGTAAAACATAGAGGTTGGAATTATGGACTTTTCACCCTTCTAGCATTAACCCAGAACACTACAGACAAGGACTTCTGATTGTACTGTCACTTTGTAGATCTGCTCAAATTTCTTATGGGTCAGGGATGCAAATAATCAAAGTCAGTGTATTGGTATAACAGCCAGAGAAATCGATTACTTTTTAGAAGCAGGTCAGAAATTGCAGCCCCATGTTCCTCGAAGACTAGGTTCACATATATATGGCTGGGCGAGCCACGGTTTGCATGGACACGACAGCCCATTCATTTGAATGAGTTGTCATGCCTCGCAGAGAAAAGCTCCCTGCACCATACTTTAAGCTGCAGTCCGCACGGGAACCAAAGGTAGTGTGGTTCCCATTACAGGAGACATTTTCAGTGCGTGCGATGTGCCATCAGGATTAAAAGCACCCGCCCTCATTTCCTTCATTTCACTGTGCGGGTGGTTGTGCATGTGGGAACAAGTGTGGGTCTTGCAGCGACAACCCCTCACACAGGTGTGAACCTAGTCTAATGACAGGCTTACTTTAAAGGATAAGTTCACCTTTGGAAAGTATTACCGGTTTTAGGGTGGAACATGTAACATATTTCAGAATCTGCAGCCTCTCCCCTCTAATCTCTATTCCCTGTGACAGTGGGAGGGGGATCCTCTCCCCACACCCAGTGTCACAATTGTAAAACAGCGAGGCTGTGCAGGGCTCCACCCACATGGCCGTGTCATTCATTCAGATTCCTGTGAATGAATGCCGACATGTACCGTCAGCCACTGTGGCTTACGGTTGTAGTTCTCAATGAACTACGAGGATGCTGGCGACTGCTCTCATTGTCCATTGATCTACTTGCCATTACAGAAGGTACAGGCAGACACCTAACCTGAGAGTCTGCAGAAGCCTGAGATTGCACCCGCGATCTGTGGGTGCAATGCTCTGCAGACTCCTTAGAAAAAAAAAATTAATGCAGTTTTTTTACCTTCACAAAAATGTGCATTTATTTATTTTTTCAAAAGGTGAACTTATCCTTTAAAACTAGAACATTAATTAATGAGAAAGGTTCTCCAAAACATATGTTGTTTATGTAAGTGAATGAAATACCTAAGGGTGCTGATAATGAAATCTGACACAAATAATAATGTGACCTTTTCTTTGTTAATAAGCAGCATGGGAAAAGTTTCCCTGACATTTAAAAAAGAAGGATAAAGGCTGTTATGCATTAGATTAAAGGATACATTCACTTTGAGGACCTCTGCTAGTGCCAGTCCCCAACCTCCCATTTATGGCGTTACTTATGCAAGCTCCTTCTAATGACTTTGTACCTTCAAGTATCCGTAAATGGGAAGATGACCTTCATACTAAGTTTACAGCCTCATAAACAGACAGAGCTAAATTCTTTACACACAAATCGTCTATAGGTAACCCATTCCAGGGACAGAGACACAAGCGCTTACAATGCTGGTTAGACACTCCAACAGGCTGGTTGCACCCAAGCTGATCGATGGATTGACTTGGATACAACTTGCCTGCCCATACATGGATTGAATCTCAGCTGATCCCTGCTGAACTTACCGAATTTTAATCCACGTATGTCCAGCTTTAGCCTCTGTTTGATCTCCTTTAACCATGCTTCTGTATGCGACTTACCCTCTGTGGCCTCCCCCTCTGCAGTTTTATATATTCCGCCTTACTCTGACCAACCATACTCCTGGATTACCCTCCTTCCCTCCCCCCTACCCCAATCCCTTGCCTCACCCCTTTTCATTTCTGTACCTCCACACCAGGTCCCTCCCCCCCACACATCCCTTTACATTATCACTCCCTAAACACAGTCTCTGTGAAAATAATTGCACCTGTGGACACCCCCATGTTGACATCCACTTTAGCAACAACCACATACAAGGTTCAACTTAACCTCAGCATATTACAAAAAAAAAAAAAAAAAAAAAGAGCCAGGCCTATTATTGTATTATAAAGACATTGTTATACTCTTTCATAGACTGTACATCCCATGCTAAAGTTTTGAGTGTCTTAAGGCCTAAGTACAGCCAAAATCACAAACAGAAAAATCAGCACAAGGGACATAACTTTCAGTCAAGTAGTTTGTGCCCCTTGTGCTGATTCCTTTAACGTTAGTGACATTCTTTGTCTGTCCTGACCCACCTCTGCCACTGTACACTTCTGGTGCAACGAGGTTATAAAAATAGTTTACCTGTAGGTACGAGGAAGATCTCCTACACCGTTTAGGAGCTATTCACTATTTCTGCAGCCAGTGATGTCATCAGCACATGCACACTGCACTCTGAAGGGACGGCACACTAAGTATGTTGTCTCTTCAGAGCGCTGTGCTGCGATCTTGGCTCAAGTGTATATGTCCAGGAGTAATGTAATTGCGGCTCATCCATTTAAATGGCTGGAGCCTGTGAACCCGGAAGGAAGACCGGATGAACATGGAAGCACTGCCAGTGGTGACAGTACACTGCTAGAGCTACTGTAAGTCTTTGATAATGTGCTAATATGGGGTGCATGCCAGCACATTATGCTCTTAACTAGGGGGGGGGGGGGGGCTATTTTTTAACACCCTTTACTAACACTTTAACACAATATATTGGCTGTCACAGGCTCTCCACAAGATATCCTTTGTCCATCCTTTCCACCCAGCTCCTCCATTCATAGAAGACATACTACAACTTCAGTGAATGAAACACAGTCTATGAACAGAGGGGACTGAGCTATCAATCATCCACCCGTCCTCCATTCACAGCTTGTGTTTCATTCATAGAAGATGTAGTATAGCTTCTATGTACAACAGAGCTGGGCGGAAAGAGCAAGCATGTTCAGGGTCTCTTGAGAGCCTGTAAAGCTGCCTAAAGATGGACTATAAGCTGGCTGGCTCAGCAGGGACTGGCCAAATTTCGATCCCTGCATGGGCACCTTGGTTGTGCAGAAGTTGACCTAAAAACTGACTTCTATACAACCTCCCTGCTGGAAAATTTTCTGTTGATCTGTTCTACAGTCTATAGGCTGCAGTGCTGATCTATGTAATCTGACGGAGGCGAAGTCTCCCTGCTTTCAGAATACAATGACACAGCAGGAGGATTCCCCCATCCACTGTGTGGATAGGGAATTAGGTCAGTTTTTCTCTCTCACCTCACTGGTTGAACAAAAAAAAGTCTACTCATCTATGGGTTGCCTAAGGCTGTAACAGCCCATTAGTTGTATTGATTCAGCAATAAAAACTGCAGGGGGGGCAGGCCACAGGAAGATTTTTCACTAACAGAAGAGGAATCAACATAAGGGACACATCCTACCAACTGTAAGTTATGGCCCTTGTGCCATGTTTGAGATTTTGGCTGCAGTTAGGCTTTCAGCAAAGAATAAAAAATAAATGCATCCCTGCTATTCCTGACTTTTGCAATTAGTATAAAATGACTTCCTGGTAGCAACAGTGACAGCAAATAAATTAATAAAATTGCCTAATGACTCCATAATCCTGTTACGGTCCTTTGTTGCGCTCAGGGTTCACCTGAAATCCAACAGTAATTTAGGAGTTTCCAGCAGTCATTTGACTTTCATTTAACATCTCCCGTTCCCATCACCATAGAGAGAAATGGTCTGGGAAGGCACAGAGATAATGGCGTCTAGCTGAGTCTATGTTTATGATAAATCTATCCTTATTAACCTCCAAAGATCTATAGGTCAGGAGCGGAGTGCCAGCATCTGTCGGTATAATAAAAAGTCACAAAAAGTACGGTTGATCAAAAATAAACAATCACTCTAAATAATACTATATCTCCTAGACGCAAAAAGTTCCACTTTCTCGCCTGAAAGTTCAAAAAGTAACGCAACAGTCTCTCGGCGCCTGTGATAAATCCACAAAATGATATGCGTGCTCCAAAAAAAATCCACCTTCATGGAAACATTTCTTTTAATCCGTGAAAACTTTAAAAAAATAAAACTCAATATAGTGCATTATCCCACATAAATACAAAATATCATATAATCACCCTGTGTTACTAGCGTGTCACCCCACTTAGTGTCCACGTCTAAGTGGCTGTTATAAACACCCTTACCCTATCAAAACTTGTATATAGCTTCCAATCTCCTATTAATTCAAAACCGTGCTCCAATATTATTGGGTGTTTTTTTTGGAGGTAAATTGAAAAAAGAAAAAAGGACAGATTGGAGCACGGTTTTGAATTA